TAAGACCTTCCTGACATGGTGTATTCTCTTTCACTGCAGCTTTACTTTCCTATTCCGCGGAAACTTTCATTTCTAACGAGGCGCTGGGTGGAGGGCACCCCCAAGTCGCCACACTTTGAGCCTTTGTAACTGCCGATTTGAGCGTCGAATTCTTCGGCACATCCTCCTCCGATCCTGCCCTGCTCCCGACTGCCTCATTACGACAGACGCCGTCAGAACGAAAAGTTGATTATAGGCAAAACATACTCATAAATACTTGTTGCTTTGGAAGAGCTGTTAAAGAAGAAATAATTCCATTTGCAAGTGATCTTTAATCGGTTTCTGTCATGACGCGACAGATGAGATGGCAGGACGCGTTTCAAGACAGTCTTCCTTCGGTTTAGGTGGAAATAAACATTTCCAGTCGCATGTAAAAGGCGAGCAGGAAGAGCTAAACTGTAAAGAGCTGGGGCCGAGCGTCGGCACTCTCTTCGGACGATCCGATCAGGCAAGAGGCTGCTGGCGAGAAGTGGCGTGAAGAAATCGATACCGGTCTTGACTATGCATGTTTGAGGTGTGAACGTCAGCTTTTGATTGGTGCCGGGCGGTCGAGACTGTCTTGTGTGCGGGGGCGGAGGCCCTATGATCCAATGACAGGCGAGAAGAGGATAGGTCGACAGAATGCGTCAGCGAGTATAGCTGTTCATTGATAGCCGGCAAAGGGACCAAGCGGAGTCTGCACTCGCTTGCTGCAGTGAGCAGAGGCAGAAAAGTGTCCAGTTGTGAATTGTCGATTGTGAATAGCGAATTGTGAATTGTGAATTGCAAAATGAGAATAGAGAATTTTAAATTTTGAATTTTGAATTGTGAGTCAAAAAATGTAAATTGTGAATTTAAAAACGCAAATTTGATACTGGAAATTGTGAATTTATGATTATGAATTGTGAGTTCTGAGTTGTGATTTGTGAACTGTGAAGCGCGAATTGTGAATCACGAAAAATAAAGTCTGAATTAGGAATTGCAAATCGCAATTGGGACACGGTAAATTGTTAAGTGGAAATTGTGAATTTTGGATCGTGAATTGTAGACTGTGAATTATGAATCGCGAATTTTAGAATGTTAATTGTAAATTGTAAAATACGAATTGTGAATTGTAAATTATGAAGCGGATATTTGGACGTGTGGATAGTGAATTTTGAATGGTAAAATCTGAATTATGTATTGGGAATTGTGAATCGCGAATTGTATATTGTGATTTGTGAACTGTGAACTGTGAATAGTAAATTGTGAATCGCAAATTGAATTGTTAACTGTGGTTTGTAAAATGCATATTGTGAATTTTGAAT